TTTCATTATGTTTCTTTAAGTTTTAATTTTCTTTCATTTTAAGTTCTGATTTTTCATTTTTTTTTTTTTTTTTAAGTTTTAATTTTCTTTCATTTTAAGTTCTAATTTTCATTATGGTTTTTTTTAAGTTTTAATTTTCTTTCATTTTAAGTTCTGATTTTTCATTATTTTTTTTTAAGATCTGATTTTCACCTGGGACACTCCCAGGGATCCAGGGGCAGCCACAGCTTCTCTGGGCAACCTGTGCCAGGGCCCCCCTGCCCTCCCAGGGAAGAATTTCTTCTGTTAAATTAAATATGATTCCTAAATTGCCACTATAATGGAGATTATTCCACCATGGGCCTCTGGTACATCCAAACCAACCAAACCAACACCAAATTCCAACCAAACCAACACCAAATTCCATTCCCTTGCTGCAGCACTGAGCCAAGGCCTCCAGGTTTGTCTAAGGCCCAATTTCAACGGGTCTGAACGACAGAATCCCAGACTGGGGAGGGCTGGAAGGGACCTTAAGGACCATCCAATTCCAAAGCCCTGCCCTGGGCAGGGACACCTTCCAGCCAGAAAAGGTCACAACAACTTCCCTTGGCTGTTTGTTCTGTCTCTGCCTTGATCACTAAAAGTAGATCCTTAACTGGAATTTGTTGGGTTTCAGCACCAACAGTACAAGGGTTAAAAAAAGAGGGCTCAGCTCCTTTTCAGGTGCAGAAGGAATTCTAACTAATGCTCCACGTTCTGTCCCAGGATAAAAGTTATTTCCAGCACCATGGCTGGGAATACAGGTATTACAGGGATTATTAAATCAATATTGCCCATATCCTGTAACAGGAGGATGTAACACACACCCTGTGCCCGACCTGGCACTGGGACAAGATCACAACAAGATCAAAGTAGCACAGGAATAGAGCAGAATTCCAAATAAAACCCCACGGATTTACAGTCCCAGCGCTCGGGGGGTTCCTGTTCACCCCTCTGGATCCCATCCCAGCACCACAACCAACCTCCTCCCACATCCCAGCATCACAGCCAACCTCCTCCCACATCCCAATATCACAACCAACCTCCTCCCACATCCCAATATCACAACCAACCTCCTCCCACATCCCAATATCACAGCCAACCTCCTCCCACATCCCAGCATCACAACCAACCTCCTCCCACATCCCAGCACCACAACCAACCTCCTCCCACATCCCAATATCACAGCCAACCTCCTCCCACATCCCAGCACCACAACCAACCTCCT